GTTATATGGATGTCAGTATAGTTATTATGTGTAGTTATGTGTTATATGTATGTCATTATAGTTAATGTGGGTAGTTATTTGTTATATGTATGTCAGTATAGTTAATGTGGGTAGTTATTTGTTATATGTATGTCAGCATAGTTAATGTGTGTAGTCATTTGTAATATGTATGTCAGTATAGTAAATATTTGTAGTTATTTGTAATATGTATGTCAGCATAGTTAATTTGTGTAGTTGTGTGTTACATGCATGTCAATATAGTTAATGTGTGTAGCTTTTTGTTATATGGATGTCAGTATAGTTATTATGTGTAGTTTTGTGTTATATGTATGTCAGTATAGTTAATGTGTGTAGTTATTTGTTATATGTAAGTCAGTATAGTTAATGTGTGTAGTTATTTGCTATATGTATATCAGTATAGTTAATGTGTATATTTATTTGTTAAACGTATGTCAGTATAGTTAATGTGTGTAGTTATTTGTAATATATGTCAGTATAGTTAACATGTGTAGTTATTTGTTTTATGTATGTCAGTATAGTCAATGTGTGTAGTTATTTCTTATATGTATCAGTACAGTTAATGTGTGTAGTTTTTGTTTTATTTATGTGAGTACAGTTTAATGTATCTAGTTTTTTTGTTATATGTGTGTCAGTATAGTTAATGTGTGTAGGTATTTCTTATGCGTATGTCAGTATAGTTAATGTGTGTAGTTATTTGCTATATGTATGTAAGTATAGTTAATGTGTGTTGGTAATTGTTATATGTATATTAGTATCGTTAATGTGTGTAGTTATTTGTTGTGTGTATGTCATTATAATTAATGTGTGTAATTTTATTTGTTATATGCATGTGAGTATAGCTAATATGTGTAGTTATTAGTTATATAAATATATTTTAGTATAATTATCGCGTGTAGTTATTTGCTACATGTATCTCAGGACAGTTAATGTTTATAGTTATTAGTTATATGTATGTCAGTATAGTTAATGTGTGTAGTTATTAGTTGTCAGTATAATTAATTTGTGCCGTTAAGATATATGCAAATTTTCTCTTTGTTTCTAGTATCATGCAAATCTGTTCCATGGAAGGCATACATTGTCAAGCAAAGATTTCTGATTAAGTAGTGATTGTATTTAACAACTTTTCTTAATTGTCATATACAATTATAGTAATTAAAAAAGGAACAAAAATTACTATCACTTTTATCCACGTGCATCTTTGTCAAATATGCACGTGCATCTTTTTCAAATATGATTCTTGAAGGAAATGTTGTATCAATGTACATGGATAGCTGAGTAATTTTGTACAAATTCTTCAATTATTAATTTGCTTTGAAGGTTTACTGGAGTTACCCTATTGTCTAAATGATATTTGGTAAATTTTATAACTAGAGAGTGTGTTGTTCTTCTTTCTTGAAGGTGAAGGTCACATGTTATTTTAGGTGTGCTTTGTGTAACTCCTAATTTGAGAGAAGAGGTATGAGAAATTAATTAACTTTTATGAAAGACAAGGATGCCAAATTTGCAATTTATATTGCTCTCGTTTGAAGGTCAATTGTGATCATTATTATTTTGTTTAGAGATGTAACTTAAAAGTTTTGAAATGCAGTAATAGATATCAAACTTAGTAAGACAGTACATAATGACTTGATATTGACACTTGGCACATTCGTCGAGTTGTCTGTAAGACCAAGCCCCTGGTCTCCGGTCAATACTGTAAGGCCATGTCTCGGATCTCTGGTCAATATTATGTTTTGTCTCGAAACTGTCATCTAGAAGCTGTTGTTATGGCTCATGGAAGGAAATGTGGCGTGGCATGGTCCTATTATGTGTATCAAAAACATGGTAGTATCATGTGTATCAACGGCATGGTCCTATCATGTGTATCAATGGCACGGTACTATCGTGTGTATCCTATCATGTGCATCAATGGCATGATCCTATTGTGTGTATCAATGACACGGTACTATCATGTGTAACAACGGCATGGTCTTATTATGTGTATCAAAGACATGGTACTATCATGTGTATCAATGACACGATACTATCATGTGTATCAACGGCATGGTCCAATCATGTGTATCAAAGACACGGTACTATCATCTGTATCAATGACATGGTACTATCATGTGTATCAACGGCATGGACCTATCATGTGTATTAATGGCATGGTACTATCGTGTGTCTCCTATCATGTGCATCAGTGCCATGGTCCTATCATGTGTATCAATAGCATGGTACTATCATGTGTATCAATGGCATGGTCCTATCATATTTGTCAATAAGCATGGTCCTATCATCAAGATAAAAGTCATGTATCAATAGCATGGTCCAATCAGCAAGATCAAATTCACAAGTGAAGCTTACTCACTTTTTAAGGATTACAACACTAACATCTTTGAAGATTGTGTAATTTAACTTACGTTCAACTTTTATTGTCTGTTTTTTCTCTAGGTTATCTATTATCATTATCAACATTGTCAGGCTCTATCTCTCAAATTCTTTATAACAGTATGATTTATTGTTGTGTTTTCATGCATCATTACATTGGATCACGTCACATAACACACTTTAAAGATCCACTTTTTAAAGGTTGATTTCACTTTTCGGGTTGGGCTGTAGTTAACAAGCTATGTAATGAAAATAAAAATATTTTGTATGGTGCGTCATTGTAATTCCAATAAATAATTTAATTAAATGATTCCATCCAAACTAGTTTCTTCCTCCACCCTTATTACTAGCCGCCATGTATAGCCTATCGTGTGCTAAAAATGGCGTTAAGCCCCACAACAACAACAAAAACAACAACCATTCAAACTATACCTGAACACAGCAGTAAATGGCTTTAAACTGATATTAAAATAGGAACGAATAATTTTGTTGACTTCACTTTTATATAAAAACATAAGGCACAGTAAAATGACGAGGATGCTGATGTCAAGTTCTCTTCAAGAAGTCTAAATTGTAAATAGTGTTAGACCTTAAACTCATATATCAGTAAACAACTTATTTATAACTTACAAACATTAAAAATAATATGAGAAGAGTTAGGTAGGCCAGATTGCTACCCTCAGTTACGGACTAAGGTCAGATATGCAATACAATATGCATAACTCTAATAAACACCCAGTGTATGAAAATAAATTTCACTTCTTATTGTTCTAGAAAGCTCTTTTTCTATCCCTAACATAAAAATAATTTTTAACATTTACAATTGCATTCAGTCTTATATATCCTCTACTGATTGTCTGTATAACTCAGTCTGTATGTTTAAAGATAGATTTATTAAATTTTCCCAGAGTAAGGCCGTCTTGGTGATGCTTGGCGCCGGCGATGCCTGGCGTGTTATTCGGATGCTTTCAGAATTAGGTCAGATCGACACAGCGGCCTTGTTTATTGAGACCTGCATGGAACAAGTTGTCATAAAACATAACTTGACAGGTATGAACATTTATATAAATTGGCACATATCAGCTAAAGAACACGTCAAAAGATATAACCAGAAACATGCATTCATATAATCATAAGCACATACAGACACACGGTAATGTTTATTTGGTTAATATAGCTGCCATTAATATTATTATTATTATTATTATTATTATTATTAGTAGTAGTAGTAGTAGTAGTAGTAGTAGTAGTAGTAGTAGTAGTAGCAGTAGCAGTAGTAGTAGTAGTAGTAGTAGTAGTAGCAGTAGTTATTTACCATAAAATCATAATTTCAAATAGAGCAATGTAATAAGTTTACAAACTTTCAGATCTAATTTCTACAGTTCTCAAAATAAGTATGTGTATGAGTGTTTACGGTAATTATTTTTGTTTATTCTTACAAAAATAATCCATTGTGCATATTAGATAATTTGTATCAAAAGAATCAATAGTTTTTTTTAAATTAAAGATTATTTACAATATCGTTAGAGAAAACGTAGACCATTGAAGTAATGGTCTTGTACAATATATCTTCACATTTCCTTGATGTAGTATGTTCTAACATGCATGGACAGGAATTTACGTGTAACTTGTTAATTTAAGACGAAATAATGAACATTTATAGCATGCAAGATTTGAACACCTAATTTGTATGGTCTCATGTCACATTCATTAACGGAACATGTATCAAGAAAGAAAGAGATTCAATATATTTATATATATATATATATATATATATATATATATATATATATATATATATATATATATATATATATATATATATATATGGGTATTTGTATATATGTGGGTGGTGTACATAATATGTCAAACGATCATTTCTCATGATGTGTATTGCGTAAGTTGTAAGCCAAGTTCACTTGAATGTAGTTTATGCATCATACAACAGAACAACAGTCTTCAAAATTTCAACCAGCTTTGTCTTCCTCCGTCTTAAGTATCATGCTGAATACATATTTTAGCTATTTTGCAGGTGATGGCTAATTACAGATTCATGGTCAGTCACGTGACAATATCAGCCATCAGAAATAGGCAGCATATGTTGTTACTCTGTCTGAGCAAGCCACTAGCAACCTCAACCGTTGTGCCTAAATCCTAGAGATATTTCTACTGTCCCACCGCCAGCCCCAAAACAGTCCACATCATAGTTTCTGTGCTATTAGTACTGTTGGTCCAGTTACCTGATTGTACTTAGTTTCAATGTTACTACCAAGGCTGTTGTTCTCTAAATACCATCTACTTTAACCTGACACATCATAAGATACTAGCAGTACATATATATATATATATATATATATATATATATATATATATATATATATATATATATATATATATATATATATATATATATATATACGCTATAATGCCTGCAGTGTGACTGTTTATAGTGATGTCCAGCACTGGGGGCATCATGCCGCAGACATGTGGTATGATATCCCACCCAGTCACATTATCTTGACACCAGTCCGACCAATCTTAATACTCACTTCTTAATGCCGAGTGTCAAGCGAGGCATCTGTCAGTACCATTTTTGTAAGGCTTTGGTATGACTCGGCTGGGGATCGCACCCGCGACCTTCCGCATCTGAGGCGGATGCTCTAACTACTATGCCACCGGAGTGGTTCATCGAGTTAATGGTATACTTTACCAGTAACATTTATTTTGTAAACAAAATCATATACAGCTAATATTTGTCTATGATTATGGATTAAATGTTCATGCCATTATTAATTGTAAACATGTTTACTTCAATTTGAGTTAAAGATATTCTTGATTCTTACCTTAGAAACGTCCATAATGGATATTTCCCACTCATTTGACGGGGTATTTCCAGAAAATGGAGATTGTGACTTAGGTCAAATAGAGTGGTATAAATTTTGTTTACCAAAGAATTTTTCGTTAATGTCGTAAGATCTGAAGCAGAATCAGTTTTATTATTGTGTTCAGCTTTAAGTAGTTTGCATTTATTTATTTATTCAAAGTATTATTCACTGAAATTACAAAGTGCTGAATCATATTGTCGATTACAAAAATTATAGTGGAATTATAGTGAATCGGGGCAAGAACATTTTGGATTATATTATTGTGATAGTAGACTCTTAACACATGACCACATTCCAGGCCATTGACATATTAATATATTCGTTGATCTTGAATTCTCAACGCATTTGTTCATAGAAACGTGAACTGTTACTGACCCCTTTCCTGTGATCTTCCTAGTTTAGAAAAAGTAAAACGTCAAATGAAAACCTTAAAGAAATCTTAATGTACATATCAGACTCATCCACCCGCAACCTAGTACAAGTGAAGGATAACAACAAACTTATAGGCACAATAACTGAGACTGCTTGTTTTTGGCACAGTGGATCGCTGTCTCAGAATGTCAACAAAGGAGGCCAATTCTTGACAGCTGACTGGTTCCTAGTGTCACCTGACTGTACGTGATTATGTAATTAACCCTGCCCTGCATAAATAACTTGCCCAACTCTCCAGTATCTTAATTAAAACTGATGAACACTTGGAATGAGTGAACAAATGTAGAGTGTGGTTCTATTATTGTATGCTGCATAAACTGCAGGAAAGTGAACTTTACTTACAATAAAAATATTTTCTTTTTAAGGAAACGAAAACAGTAATTTTTCACTGAAAGCAATACTGCACCAATTTGCTGATCTTTTGCTTAAACTGGAACTCCGAGAGGCAGCCGAGTATTACAGTACTCTAGTCTGAAATACACTAGCAACAGAAACATTGTTCTTCAGCCAGTTGACAGCCAGGTGACAGACTGCTATTTGCATAAAGTTGACCGTGTAAAATGTGGGTTTTTATATATAAAAAAATAAGAACCTGTTTCTTATTTAAACCATGTCAAGTTTATGAATATATTTGCAGAGAAGGACTGCTAAACATGAACATATTTGAAAATCTTTAATATCTTGAAGCACTTTTAATGTTTGGTCAAATTGTGTTTTGACAGTTGCTGGTATTGCCGTACGGAAGTGCCTGAAAATGTTGTCAATTTTATGACATTACGTTTATTTTGCATTTTAGTGGTGGCATTGCATATATTCTGTGCTGTTAATCACAAATAAATTTTCATGTATATTTTGTATTTCAACTTGTAAATGTCTTTTTAATGAACATGCGTTCCTCTGAAAACAAATTTAATTACTAACAGTGAAGAATCCGATAACCTTAAAAATATCCTCAGAAATTCGGTAGTCGATTCAGGCTGTTGAGATGCGAGTAGAACCGAAAGCTCAGCCTTCGTTTTGTTTCAGATAAAAATTCGAAATCATGCATTCACATTTCGATTATTCTTAAATGTTTTATCTTTGCTATCTCATTTTATTGGCGGTGGTTAGACATGTAAGTGTTATTTTACAGCATTTTACAATCACGGCAATTCAATAATTAATGATATCAGAAACTGTTTGGACTTCTTTAAAAAAAAAAATCGAAAACCAGCATATGTCGAAGCGTTGATTAGTACCACCGACCGATTTACAAAATGGAATAGTAAACAAATGTTAGCAACCTATAGGCTGCTAATACAGTATTAGCTGTCAAACTGATTGCCTTGACCTGTCATTGCACTTATCAGTCATGTATCAGTCCTCGTGGCACGTATCAGTCACGTGGCAGCTAAAGTAATGTTCAATGATGGTAACGCAATACATTATTTGAAATACAAAATGATTGGTTTTTGAGGCACTAACGCAAGTGGAAAAGGGAGACCACTGGATTTGAAAACTCAGTCACTGTAGTTCTAAAGTAATTCCCCTGAAATACTTTTTAAACAACATCTGGAAAAAACATTGTGATTCCATTTTCAAGATCAATGTCGCGTGTGTACAGTACGATATAGACAAGAATTATTTCATATATATATATATATATATATATATATATATATATATATATATATATATATACATATATATATATATATATATATATATATATATATATATATATATATATATATATATATATATATATATATATATATATAAAGAATAAAAAACATATGTCGAATAACAGCCCTCTCAAGCGTACTGGATCCACCAAGGTAATCACGTGTGTCAGGGATTAATTAAAATATATGCAATAAACTGACGACGAACAGTACGAAACTAGTAACTAACTAGCCTAAGCGCTTTCGACTCTTAATGAGTCTTTTTCAAAGGCAAATACAACACATAGTTATGACAAACAAATAAACACAAAAACGTTGTGTTTGTAAACCTCTACATTTCTGTCTTCACATGTGCTAAAACTATAAATACAACCAGCTTGTATAGACTAGTTGCGGAAACTGAAAACGTTGTATAAATCCCTAAAAGTCTACAAGCCAAAGCGACATCTATTTTTACTTTGTGTACATATGTAACGCAGATTATATCCCGGATATTTGATTCTATACCGGTTATTCCTATAGTAAAAATTGAAGGATAATAAGAAGATTTAGAAAATGTAAAATTCTACTAGTGCATAGTTTTCATTTTCTAGTCTTCTTGGTTTAGACCGCTTGGTTTCAATGTTCTAAGGCGGCGTATCCAGTATGATTCCTTTTCCTTCCTGGTTTCGAACTCCAGCTGTGGTTGTTAGCAATAGCGATAAGTATTTTATATCACTGAAAGTGTGGCCAGGGGAGGAGAAGTGTTCTGCGACCGGGCTTCTGTACAGCTTTTTTGTCATCCAATCCGATCTTTGAAGGTTTTTCCTTTTGTGTAGCTTTTCAGTTTCTCCCACGTACTGAAGGCCACAGATCTTACATGTGATGAGATAAATCACATTCTCTGTTTTGCACGTTTTGTTTGGACCATGTATGTTTAGTTTTTCTTTAGTCACTGTGCTAGTGAATGTCTTGGTCTCTATCATATGTTGACAGGTTTCCAACTCAAACCATGTTTTCCTGGACACAACAACCAGACTGGTGGAAAACAAATTACACACAGACATCTACTCAAAACCAACCGACAAACACCAGTATCTTCTCCCAACCAGCTGTCATCCAAAACACTGCATTAAGAACATTCCATATAGCCAGGCACTGAGGATACGCAGAATTTGCTCCGACGATGAAAGATTCCTAGAAAGGTCTGAAGAGCTGGCTAAACATTTAATTTACCGAGGGTACGACAAAGACCTGATTGCGAAGGCAATCCAAAGGGCCAAACAAACAAACCGTGATGACCTTCTCAGATATGGACAGAAAGAAAAGGTTGATAGGATACCATTTATTCTGACCTATCACCCAGACAATCCCAAAGTAGGTAAAATCATCGCAAACCACTGGCCAACCGTGCAATCGTCAGACATACTAAACCTAATACTTCCGAACAAACCTGTAGTATCTTACCGGAGACCAAAAAACCTAAAGGACATCCTAGTCAGGGCCAAGCTAACGCCAATCGCTAGTCAAAACCAACCTAGTCAATCTGGACCCTGTGGCGATAAAAGATGCAAAACCTGTCAACATATGATAGAGACCAAGACATTCACTAGCACAGTGACTAAAGAAAAACTAAACATACATGGTCCAAACAAAACGTGCAAAACAGAGAATGTGATTTATCTCATCACATGTAAGATCTGTGGCCCTCAGTACGTGGGAGAAACTGAAAAGCTACACAAAAGGATAAACCTTCATAGATCTGATTGGATGACAAAAAAGCTGTACAGAAGCCCGGTCGCAGAACACTTCTCCTCCCCTGGCCATACTTTCAGTGATATAATACTTATCGCTATTGCTAACAACCACAGCTGGAGTTCCGAAACCAGGAAGGAAAAGGAATCATACTGGATACGCCGCCTTAGAACATTGAAACCAAGCGGTCTAAACCAAGAAGACTAGAAAATGAAAATTATGCACTAGTAGAATTTAACATTTTCTAAATCTTCTTATTATCCTTCAATTTTTACTATAAGAATAACCGGTATAGAATCAAATATCCGGGATATAATCTGCGTTACATATGTACACAAAGTAAAAATAGATGTCGCTTTGGCTTGTAGACTTTTAGGGAATTATACAACGTTTTCAGTTTCCGCAACTAGTCTATACAAGCTGGTTGTATTTATAGTTTTAGCACATGTGAAGACAGAAATGTAGAGGTTTACAAACACAACGTTTTTGTGTTTATTTGTTTGTCATAACTATGTGTTGTATTTGCCTTTGAAAAAGACTCATTAAGAGTCGAAAGCGCTTAGGCTAGTTAGTTACTAGTTTCGTACTGTTCGTCGTCAGTTTATTGCATATATATATATATATATATATATATATATATATATATATATATATATATATATATATATATATATATATAGTGAATCTTTTTTATCTACAAATCAATACATTTGTAGGTCAGAGTTGGAATCGATTCCGACGCATTCTTTTTACAGTGATATAACTTTTAATCACATTGGCGAGACAGCTCTTTCGGATGGTGGAGACGGAATGGGGTGTTTGGTTCCAGTTTTTTCAGCTGCATATTTTTCCAAGCTCTCTGGTGCCTTTTTTTTCGTTGGGATACATTGTTATGGTACTGAAATAATTCTGCACCACATCCATTCGCCAAGTAGTTTAAAGTAATGTTTTAATGTGGTCTGTTTTCA